ACGAGTTTCGCAAACTTCTGGTGAGTTCTCCAATACACGTCGCCGCCTCGGAACTCTAGAAATTCAGCGTATATCAATGCCAGCAAGCATTGATAACTGTCAACCAGTCGGGGCGGGATTAACAGGACAGGAGGCGTCAGCCCGGCTCTGTTGACTCCGCCCTCGTCAACCAATCGATTTCGAGCCGCAAGAGTGGGATTTCTGCTGTGATTGCGAACTCCGCGTTCGTTTTCAATGGAGGGTTTTTTCACTTTGGTTGATCGCGGACGCTGCCTTTAAGCTCAATATTCGCCCGTATTCCAGCCGTGGTCATTACTGTCGTCGCGGTACCAACGACCGCCAAACAGAACCATATTACTGCGATATTCAGTCCATTTGTCTACGTTCATCCATTCGTTGTATAACGATTCAACGGATGAGTACTGCGTTTCCTGATTGATACTATTTTTGCATATAGAGTTGAAGACACTGAACAAAACTCTAAACCTGTTTTCACGTACCCTTTTTCAGCGATCTTGCGACGCGTTGTCGTTGCTGACTCGTCGTCGCTAGAGCTTTCGTCCGAATCAGATACTGAAAAAAATTTTCGCTTTTTTTTCTAGAAATGTTTCATTCGCTGTGTAACAATAAGTTTACCCAATACCTTGTCGTGGAGGTGAAAGTTTTTGCTGTTTTCTAGGAGATTTCCGCTTGGCCTTCAGGTGTAGATTTTTCTGAATCAATGCTGTACAAATGAGAATGATATTACACTTAATGTAGTGTAAAGACACCAATAGGCCTTGAAGGGACGTATGCCTCATCGCCCTGCATTATTCCCTCTTTATCTTCGTCTTCAGATGTGTCCAGTTCGCTGCACCAGATTCCTCGTCTACGTCCGGTTCAGCCAATGATTCCGCGACTGTATCAAACCTATAGAAATGACTCAGGGAGGAGCATTCGAAACTCAGTCACAGAAAGCATACCCTCTAAACTTGACAAGTCTCTTGGCTGCCGCCACTTCATCGCTGAACAGGATTTTCTCCCTCTCTGCTAACGTCCTTAGACATCGATAGGCTCTCACCGCAGGTTTTGCGAATTCGTCCACATAATATTGGAGTTGCGTACGTTGTGAGTGCCCTAAACACCATTCCTAAGGGTCGAAAAACGAGCGACATTCACTTAATAGTTTGGACACGTCCTTGTCAGCAGGTTCCATTCTACCTTCGCCTCGGTCTTGGTCAAGATACGACTGATACTGTGCTCGATGCATGCCTCGTCTATAACACATTACCAAAGATTAAACGGTATTCAACGGAGGGAGGGGGTGCACAACTGCTGCAACTCACTGCATTACACGTGATGCCTATCCTTCGCAGTTGATCAGCAGCAGGAATCGTTTGAGAAGGGGGTGGACATAGGCGTATGAGACAGGTCTGCCGGTCCATCCCAAGAAAAAGGGGTCTTTTTCCTCACTCATGTCACCAAGCCCACGCTCTTCCGTGATGCTGAAATAATAACATTTTATGCATTTTCTTGCCCGTGTAGCTTGCACGTACAATGCGCGCAGTCTGTTGTAGTGTCCAGAACGAACAGACCGCTTCTACATGCGGTCCGCTCACCCGTCCTCAAGCGCTGCTTTGGATTGGGATAGCGGCCAACCTGAAGGTTGATGTCAAAGAAGGTCCGCGATAAGGCTGAATGTATCAGAAAACCTCTACCCAGTAGATTTCAGAGCCAGTCCGCGGTAGTCTCCGTGTACTTGATCAGGCCCAGCGATTCATCGGGTCTTTCGACCATACTCCCCACAATCATCTTGTAAACAACTTTGTTCCTCGTTGCATTACAGTGCATGATATACGCAATGAGTGCACTGAAATACAATTACTGTGTATACGTAGGAACTAGAAACAACTTTGTAGCACACCTCATAACGAAATTGTATTCGACACGAAGTAGCGCTTCGGGGTCTCTTGCAAAGCCCTTCATTACTTCTTCGACAGTTTTGTCGATTACAGAGTGATCGACAATCACTCGCATGACTCCATATTTCGGGTACTCCTGAAAAAGACGGTGTCCTGTGAATGTTTTGCACAGAATGTTGTGTGCAAACAAGATGGACTTTCCGCGGTTTTCTTGTGCTGACCAGTCCTTCGTACGTGTCGCGAGACCTCATCTCGCTCTTGAGCTGAGCCAGATAGTCCTGCGAGTTCTCGATCGCTCTTCCCACGAGTTCCATTCTTCGCTGACCGCCATCTAATCAATGCATACTTTGCAACATTTGAACCTTGGGAAATAATCCATACTGAGAACTAAACCAACTTGCATCGATATGCCTCTTCAGGAATTTATAGAATGCGATGAGGGCCTAAACAAAGTTGATCCGCACACCCTCTGCAACTCCCACTTCTTGAGTCATTTCTAAAATAATCGGGGAGCATTCGTTCAGAAAATATGGCGTCATCTATTGTTACGATCCTTCCACATCTGAACATTCATGGTGATTCCCTTCAGATCCAGTTACAAATAGTAGCCGCTCACCGATGACGTCCCCCATGGCAACTAGCATATAGCGCTCCACGTATTGCCCGTAATGCTCGCCTCCTTTCAACGGGTCCACCGAAGGGCGCTTTCTCTCGAAGTGCTGTCGTGTGAACATTCAGGATTAAGCGACAAGAAGCTAAGGAGTGAGAATAGTTTCTTACAGCTGAACAAATTCTCACCACAAACATTCGCAGAGAATTCCTAAAGGCAACCAGTAATGGATGGACCTCGTAGCGTACTTCCTCCACAGTTTCATGACATCTGCATCATGCGCTGTGTCAGTCTTCCGAAACTGAACAGTTCGGTGAGCGTGTGTTCCACTGTTCCGTATAGCTGCTGCATCACTGATACCAGTCCTTGTTGAAAACGAATGCTGAAACCCGCCAGTGATCCTTCAAACTCGCTACATACGGCACCACATTTTGCTTATTCAGATGCATACCTGTACGTTTCCAGAGTAATCGTGTTGCTCGCCCAGGCAAGGAGGTCTATGAGACTTTTCGAATGCGTCTCCATGACCTGAACCGTCGTAAATGCGCTATGGTCAAACTACGATTCCAGTATTACTATTCACCAGTCCATGATTGTTCGTCCCAAGATTATTCTCCAGAACGTTTCGTTATTTGTCCAACTTCCATACCAACGACATGTCCGACAGGAGAAGTCCGGAATCGCGCTTGCATCGATCTTTAAACATTCATTGCTGGTCAATAGGCTACCAAACATTGTTGAGAATCACCTTAAGACCGGTACTGAGGCGCGATGCATTCCAAACAACTCTTTCATATCCGACCTGTGGACGTCCAGTGCAGCTGCCTTCATCTTTTGATATAGCTAAAACATCTAGGATTTCACCTACTTAAATATTGCAATCTAGATGACCGCGGATCTGAGAGTATGGTTGAAAATCGTCCCTTTACTCAGTGCCTCAAATACTGTCCCGTCCACATAGGCTAGTCTGTAATAGTACCGGGTTCATAGACTCCAGTGAACATGTGTCGACAAAATGCTCACCCATCAGCAGCTTCCGACATTTACTCTTATCATCGGCCACTTCTCCCACAATCTCTGCTTGCAGCCCATTCCTTATCATTTCTGCAGCCAGATGGTCATCCATTTGGGCGGGTTGTGCGGGTTGTCAGGGAGAAACATTCCAAATTGGGATGATCCACTTCTGGTGCAATGAAGCACCAGCACCACAATAACGTTACAAAACTGCATGAATCGCATTCTAAATCTAAATAAAAATCTTATGCACATGACAGCGGTATGAGTAGTGGTAGCGGCGATGAAAATCACGGCTACATTTGGCATGTAATTAGAGCTTGAACTCAGGAAAGGTTTAAAGACTGATTTCAGGATCAATACCCTTCCGTCTTGATCTCCAAGTAATCAAACTTGGCCGTGCGAGACGCGACACGCCCATATACACGACATCATTCTCTATTTCGCATTGTCGAAATATATTATTGCAGTTAAGACTGTTTTCCCCATCATTGCCAGGTAAGCAGCA